ACCTTTTTTTTTGTTTGATGACTGATTGTGCTTTGGATGAAACAGTCATCAGTCTGCTGATATGGAAACAAGCCTTATGCTGGTGAATGCAGAACAATCAACACTGTGCAGCTCAGATTCCTCCTCTGGCCACTAAAATGCTGTCTTTTGTTACAATATTTCCTTCACGTTTTTATTTATTTATATTGTATTATACAAAGTACTTCTGCAGTGGGTATAATAGATGAATGACGCCATCCTTATGTCACCCATATGGGTTTAAGTTGTCACGATATTAACCAGAAATAAAAACAAACAAATGAGAGAGTGTCAAACTGAGAAGGAAAAAAAACACTTTCATGGTTTAATAGATATTTGGGTTCAACCATTTCTCCAGACAAATGCGGGACACTGGGGGTAGTCATCATAAACGTTGAACAGTCGATAGTTCCTGTGTTCCATGCTTTCCACATCAAGTCCCTGTTGAAGGGGGTTTCACATGTGACGCTTTATATCAAACCGTTACTAACATTCAATCAGTGTGCTCGGCATTCCCCACTTCTCAAGCCCTAGCAGCATCCCCCCGCTAAGGCTTGAGAAGCCACGGACGTGAAATGATAAAGGACGTAATAGTCTGTCGTTTGTGGAGACAGTGAAGGAGCGCCTCAGAGTGCAGTCCTACCAGCCATGAGAGGCTGTTTCCCAAACCGCTCCCCTCCCGGATCCTCCTGTTCAGGAACACCAGCTCATCTTACACGCTGAGTTTGCATGAAAAGTTTCCCTACAACGATCTCATTAGCTAAATTCACTCCCGTGGACGGGCGTGCCGCTGGTTGTTGTAAAAGTAATTTTAGAATCAAAGAGGCCCACTTATGTCCAATCGGCTGTCAAGGCTCTGTTGCCAGTTCCATCTCCTTGTCCAAATGGTCATTTCTGGCCTGGAAAGGCCAACATGATGCAGGCCATATGCAGAAAACGGGCAGCTCACAGAACTTTGGATGACACCACAGAGGTCTCATCGTCTGTGGGCCTGCGTGGAGCCTACATGTGCCTACATAGCGGGCTGAGCAATTTTCTGCTTGAAATGGGGTCAGCTTCAAAACATTTACGAGCCATTTAATAGAGGACTGCTTTTGGATTGGGCTCCCGTGGGAACTGAAGCAAATCTCGTGGGATCAGGTGATTTTAACTTTGCTTTTGGCAAGGGCGGGTGGTCAAGAAATTAACTGAGTGTCCCGGCGTGACTCCGCCTCTGGTAGTCGGCTGGATTTAACCACAGTGATAGTCGGTAAATGAAGTTGAGATGAACAGCAAAGTGGAACTTCTCACTGCAAACGTAAACTTGCCAAACTTTTCATGTGGAAGGGGTTTTGTGACGTAAAACATTACAAACCATCAATGACAGATGGGGAGAGGCTCTAAAACCGACGGAACTATTGTAAGGATAATGTAGCGAGATGGAGGGGATGTTATTGGTCATTGGCCACTATAAGGGGACAGGAACAGGAAGAAGAAAATACAGGTCGAGTCCTTTCTAACACTCAAATCCACAAAATTCCTTTGAAATTAGTTTTTCTTTTCAGAAAAACATTGGCCCCTTGATCATGAAATATGCTAATGATTATTATTTGTGATTTTACTAGCATCCTCATCCAGTCTGTGTCACCCTCTACTGTAGGTGATACCCAGATCCCAGACTCATCACCATCCAATCCTGGTTTCTAACTATACAAAATGTGATGATTAGAAAATATCATTTACATGGCGCAGTGCCTGGAAATGAAACAAAAATGTGAAAATAGTAGCTAAAGTCTGGTTACACTGCAACAAGATAATTACTTGGTTAAACGTGGTTAAGTGCAGCTCCAGCGAATACGCCAAGAATAGAATGTTTTATGGTAGCATTATTTCCATGGCAGCGTAATAAATGTAGTTAATTAGCAAGTAGGTTTTTATAAATGTGCACCTTTAGACTCAAGTTTCAGACTTCATATGAATAAGTGTTGCCGCACTGTGTGAAAGCACAACGTTCAGCAGTAACAAAACAGGCAGTTGTCACAAGGCATCGTATGGATTTATTTTCAACAAGCCCATTTATCTGCAGATAAAAATAGCCTCAAAGAGTTGCGCTATCTGCCAGTGGCCCAACTTCCTTTGATATGATTCCCTTTCTTCATGCTAACATTAACCTACTTAAGGCCAATTTACTGTAGAGTCCAAAATGGACGTCTAGACTGCACAGGATTTTCTAGATGCAGTTTGACAGCTTACCACAAAAGAGAGGAGAAGAACAGCAACTGCACCTGCTTGGGAGTTGCGAGTGAACACGGTGATGTGGTGAGCATGAGTGTCACAGGGTGCCACTGGCAACTCATTATGAATTTTTAATCACAAGTCACTTCACTGTTTTCTCTCGTTCTCCTCTTATTTCCACTGTGAAGGAGCAAAGCAATAAAATGAAGCAATGCATTTCTCTGCATGCATCGTGCGTATTTTTGGCGTGTTGTTTTTTTTTATGAAGGCGTTTGCTGTGCAGTTGCAGATGCTGATGTGGTTCATTGATAGTGCTTAATGTGTCCTTTGTTTATAGATATTGCTAAATGTAAGAAAAATCTCATTAAATGTATGAATCCCCATTGCTTTGTAAAGTGTCTGAATTGTCCTTTTTTGTCCAACTGCAAACCTTCAAAATGTGCTCTCCCTATACAAAAGGATCATTTTTTTTATTATTATTGCTCTCTTTCACATGAAATGGGTATTTGCTGTCTATGAAAGCCTTTCTTTATATGCACAAAATGAAACTATACACGGATGGCTGCTTCCCACATTTCTGTCTCGTCTTTCACTCTGGATGCTTTATGTCCCTCTGATCTGAAGATTGTAGAACACAAAGACCCTCTGCTGGTTCCCTGTGGCATTACACTGCTGGAACACCTTAAGAACAGTCGGGCTGCCTTTTCAGAGGTGACTATTTTGTGATTTTAAACACCAAATGTTAAACATTTTATTGAAATTGCAGCTTCTTTTTTTTTTTTTTTTTTTTTCAAGGTTTTTGTATCGTTAGGCCACACAAAACCTACTAAATCAATTTGATTAAAAGTGCACCGTCAAGGAATTTAATTTAAATTCAACGGATGACTATATTTTTTAAATGAAATGGGCTTCAAGGCGAGACTGCCATAATCTGAGGAGCTTCACCTTGGAGAGTATTACAATGATAAAGGCTTTTTTTTTTCTTTGTTGTGGTGAGGTCTTCAGTTTACAGCAGTTTATTGGAAGTAAAAAAGAAAGAAGAAGCAACAAAACACAATGTTTGCTGACACTATTGGAGGTTTTTGACGAAAAGCCTACCTCCGAAAAGGTGTGATATCTGCAAGAGAGAAAGTTAAACACAGGGACACATCTACCAAAATAAAAAAATGTGTTTCTTTGCACGGTTTGTGCACACTAAATTATTCTTTTTAAAGGCACACAGATCTCTTTGTTTTCATGTTTAATTTAATTGATTTTGCAGCATTAAACTGTTATTTAGTGATACTTCAAGGTCAGCATTTTGCCTTTTGAGATGTTTTGCTGCTTCTTCTAAGATGCTGCGCACCACAACTCTTCGCTCTCTGAAGTCCGGCTTTGTCTGCAAGATAAACACACAATGGTAACACATAGCCAACCCCTTAACATGCCGTTGCTTACCATTTGCCAACACGAGCAGAGCACAAACGCAGACTGTGAGTGTGGCAACACATTAATCCTTGTTAAGCGGCAAAACGAACGGATACAAGTTTAGAGTAGATGGTGTTGGCAAGTCTGAGCACGCTGTTGGGAGCAGACTATAAGTTGTGTTGTGATAATTTCCAATCTCTTTATGGTTGTTTCACTCGACATCCAGAGATGTTAGTTGTTGTTTATACCAATGAACACACATTTTGCTTAACATCTGTATACACTGTAAATCCCTTACTGACATAATTGCACCACTGCCTGTAAATATTTGTATCCTTCCCACTGCCATCTGTATTCAACTTTTTAGTGCACTGCCATCTGTAGATGCAGGGGTCTCTTTTTTACTTCCTGATCTTATTATCACACCTTTTTTATACACCTCAGTGTTGTCTCTCTGCCCTTGCAGATTTATTTCTATTCGCTTTAGCTGTGATAAAATTCTGCACAAAGAGACCATTTATGTGGTTTATTTGTCAAGAAAAATACCCTTATTGTTTGGAAGATCTCCACACAGGCACAATCTTTGGGCCAGCGTCTGTTTAAGAAGCATCAGGGTGGATTCTTGCTGACACAGGGCCTTGACCTGAACTTTAAGGGATAAATGTGTTTTCACTGTAGAGATATGACTAATAGCTTGTCCCTTTTGCAAACAGTGCTGCTTGCCATCAGATCCGTACACTCAAACGCCAATGTCTTGACATGATGTATTACCATATTTATGTTGTTTTCATTCCAATGAACCTGGTTTTTGTGCCCCCTCTTGGCCACGTTTCCAGGTTTTGTGAATTAATTTCACAAGTGATTCGGTGATGTTTTTTAGTTTTTTATCAGAAAATGTGTTTTTTCATGGTTGAGGTTCTAATCCTTTGATTGTTTTTCTTCTCCTGTGGTCCTTGCCATGTTTTTTCTCTATTCTTTGCTTGTGTGTGTGTGCTTGTATTCGAGCGTCTTTATGCAGATATGGGTTTTACTCAAATTTACATACAAATAGAAAACTCTGACAACTGCTACGATGATTCTTAAAACCTTTTTTTCATTTACTCATCCAATATGAAATACGAGGCTTTTGCCCCCTTTCTCCCAAGTTATTGTGCATCTCCTCAGCTTTCAGACTCCTATAAACAAAGCACACCCCACCCCTTGGAAACCTCATTCTTTAATAAAATTGGTATCTGTTACTAGTAGACACTTTCTTTTGGGCGTGTGGCTTGGAGCAGAAACCTGATCATGGAGTTGACAGTGGGTGTGTGCACTCCCAAGGACCACATCCTGGTTTTAACTGTAGCACAAAGAAAGCAGACACATTTTCTTTTCCACATATTCAAATATTTGCTTCACAAGAAATTGTTAAATGCATTGGCGAGTAGCGTTTCCACAGATGTTCGCAAAGTTTGGCTTTAACCGTGGTATTTTTGATTAACCATTCAAGTTCTTTTGGAAAGACTCCTTCTCTTTGGGGGGAGAAATACTGAAGGGTTTGTTGCAGATATGAGATTTCAAGGTGAGATTCAAGTTTCTTTTGAAATTGGTTGTTTTAATTGTGCGACTGCTAATCTTTAGCAATTCTTTTTAGTGGTAGCTGTTTTAAACCTCACTGCTGCAGCTGCTACGCTCCTAATTCTGAGGGATATCTTAAGGAATTCATTTGATGCACAAGACCAAGAACAAACTACTGTGGGTGAGTTTATTTCTCGTGAAAAACTGTGCACTTTGTTTGTGTCTGTTGCAACAGCCATGTTGTTTCCTTTAATTCATTTGGAGGCTTTTAGAATGACGCATGCAATATTTTCACACTGTAAAATGTTTAAACATTAAAAAGAAGTTTCAGTTAGTCCAATTCGATGATGTAACTATACTGTAAGATCTTTCCTTTCCTTCTATTCTGGATTAGAAGTTACAATACCATCCCCACCAGAGTGCAGCCTGTCCCGTAACTGTCCACCACACCATTTTGCTTTACATATAAGGAGTGGAGCAGCTAATGTCGTCGGGCCAAGGATCTGTTTCAGCGGGAAAAAGTATATAATAATGACACTGAATTAGGATTGAATTCAGAAATGGTTAAAACAAATGAAAGACTTGTTTTTATGTCTCCACAGCATCATGAGTCACGTGTTAAACAATGTGGGACCAGGAATAAACATTGTTGTGGTAAATGGTGAGAAAAAGACTCATGGTCTATACTGTTCAACTAATTATGTACTGAATTAATATTGTTTTTAAATGTAATATTTTCTGAAATGGCAAAAATTGTAAATAAACCCAAAGAAAACTCTCAAAACTTCAACAACAACAAAAAAGAAAACATCAGATGTCATTTCACTAGCTCTTGTGAAGCCCCAATTATATTCCGTGCACAGCATTTATTTGTGTTATTATGCCTTGAAGAGTATGTGTAAACAATTTTTTTGTGTGTTTTTCACAACAGGAGAAAATGGTGTTGTAGAAAAATTTGGGTATCTCAATATAAATGCTGGAAGTAAGAGCTTTAAGAATTATTCAATCAAGTTTCCTATTTCAAACACTATTGAAGCCTATAAATAATGGTATTCTTTTCATTTTACTCCAACAAAAGACCCAAACGACATCGTTACATACTTGAAGGACATCAAACCTGGGATGATTGTATTGGTGGCCTCGTTTGATGATGTGGCAACAAAGTAAGTCAAAATCTCAATGTTTCAACATTTAAAAATGACCTTGTCACAGTCTATGACGCATTGTGCTCCTTTTGTGACAGACTGACTGAGGAAATGAGGGAAATATTTGTCGAAATGGGAAGCACTTTGATCCGTTCTGTAAAACCCAGAGACAACTGGGTGTTTGCAGGAAGAGCGGGTACAAAAATCAAAAGCCCCTTCGAGAAGGTTAGTGAATCAGTGCTCAGCCTTGTTTTATTTGTTCTATTTATGTGAGGAGGGGCTAAAAGTGAAAAGCCATGACAAAAACAAATGATTTCATCTCTGCTCATCCATCAGCATGTTGCTAATGACGAGAACACCAACGTTTTTGAAGGATGGCCAGAAATGGTGGAGGTGAGCGGCTGTTTTCCAAAAAACCTGACAGAGGGGTGAAGAACTGCAAAATGTGAGGCCATTTATTTTGGACTCAACTGTGAAATGACACCACCCCAAAACCAACAGCCAAACTTCAGTGGTGATCAGAATCATTCGCTTTGCTGCATCGTGAGATCAGAGTCTCACTTACACGAAGAAAGGAAAAGTAATGGCCTTATATTTCTGTTGTCACAATGTTGATGAAGGAAGAACAATGTTATCACAAAATATCTTGAAGTTCTTCTTTTTAACTCCCTTTTACAAAGAAAATGAGCCCCACATGAAATGTTAACATCAGAAATGGTGGTTCAATGCACGAAACACTGGGCCAAGAAAATGTCTACTCTCAGTGACCAAGGATGGAACTTCTACAGAAAGAAAAGCACCAAAACCAAAGCTAATGCTTAGGTTTTGGTGCTCCCACTCATTATGGGAGGATGTTCTTAAGACTTAGCTAATTTCCACTCAGAAGTGTGCATCACTTTCTGCACTTGATGTGTTTAGTGAATGAAATATTTGGCTGTGTCTCAACTTTTTAGGAACTGCAAGTGTAAATGCAAAAACAATAAAAGCTACAACATCCTTAAAAAAATACTCTTAGACTCTTTCTTTTTTCAGAATACTCGCCATTACATTTGCTACCTTCCGCCCAATTGTGCGTAATCAGAGTTTGTCTAGCCGCTGCTTCCCTGTGAGCATCACCATTAGCCATACAGAGAGCTCTCTTCTCTCTGTGGCATTCTTGGCTACTAGAGCAGAGAGAAAGCAACCTCAAATTACTGCAGAAACTTTCTCCACTGTGAGTCCCATCAGGCATCTGAACAGGCTCCAAATCTGGATTCATACCGAAGACATGGGAGTCACCCATGGGAAAAAGGTAAGCTTGTTGTTATCCTCCTCATTTTCTATCCCTTTATCTCCATGTGATCGAACACATGAGTCATTTCACAAGTAACATTAAGAGAACCCAGGAGAGACATCCATGCAGCAACAATCCTTTCTCTGATTTGATTTAGATTATGAGACGTTTTATTACAAATTCAAACCGAACGTTACAATTTGTTCCTTTCACCCTTCCATGTTATCGTGACTCACACATTCAGGATCCATGCAGGAACGACTACATAGCTTTCTTTTTGTCCAACAGTACAACTTTATTATTTTTCGTTGTTCTCTGTAACTGTTCTCTCTACCTTTTACTCACTTCCCAAAGGACGTGAATGCTTGAACCAAAAACAGGTCTTTATCCAACTGAAAAGACGCCCACTGAACAGTGGGCCTTGGAGACTGTTTATCTTGTCATGTCCTATTAATTCCTCTCCACACAATATCCTCTGTGTGTGACTGGCCAAACAGCAGGACTCCCCCTCATCAACCAAACAGCCGCGGGCAGAGATGCTGTCACTTTAGCACTTCTAGCACTCTTCTAGATTCTCTCCTAACTCTAATGATTTGCTGACATCTTCTTACATTTTAATGTATTAGAGTTAGTATGCCGCTTTATATTGTATCGTGGAAATGTGTTAAGCAAGGCAGAAGCTCGCGAGAAAGCTTTTATTCCATCACATTATTTAACTCTCTCACCATAAAAAGCCGCTGTAAGCACGGTGTAAATAAAAGCAGCAATGATTTGTGGATCTGCCACACTAGGGATTGTCCTGAAAAAACAACGTACGAGAAATTTAGATGTCTGCAAGTTTTAAAAATCTCTAACCAAGGCCTTTGTTTATCACTTTGTTTGAACGACACACTTTTGACGTCCAAGCAAATTTCTGCAGGTTTAAAAGTGAAATATTTTGCTGTGTTTTTGTGCTGCTGTTCAGCAAATTATGCAGCCCCTATTTAGTTATATGATTTCTCACATAATGTGTCAAATGTTTTTAGTGTCAGGATGTTACTGCAGGCAGGACGGAACCACGTCCAGCCTCTTTCACCCAGAACCATGCTGTTACAGACACAGCGCCGTTTGGTCTCTGAAAGCAAAGCCTTCTCTCATAAACAGGTTGTCTGGATGGCGGGATTTGTTGGTATAAGATCTGTATGTATCTTTTAAAGCATTAGTCTTGCCTTCACAAATTACCTATGCTGTGGGCATTCATGCATCCCTGTATCATCACACATGATGGATTTTAAACTCACCTCCTCAGCTCAGAGAGCAAACAGCAGCGCCTATGATTTATTTATCAATTTTTGATTTGTCAGAGCACAGACCAGTTTTCCACTTTGCCTCAGTCCATAGTAAATTAATCCAGCATCAGATAAAGCAATGAAGTTTCTGGATCTTGGATATGTGCACCTTTTCATTTGCATGGCAGAACCATGTCTAGTATTTTGTGGATGGAGCACACTGTTCACTGATAATGCTTTTCAGAGGGGCTGCAGAGCACCAGCTGTGAGTTTAGCATGTGTCTCTAATGGAGTGCTGCCTGAGGAACTCCAGGAGCAACCACACAGCAGACATTAGTTTTCAGATATCTCCACAACCTTTGAAACATTCGAACATGTTTTGTTTTGTGTGATCAAATCCTCACACTGCTTTTTGCTATTTCATATTTAGAAACAATTGTTCAGGTAACTATGTACATTGTGATTCATTGAGCGTTCACGTGGCTGGACTCTTAATTCCCTAAAAGGGTATACTTTTCATACCGGTCATGTTACTGAGCTGTTGCAAGTCAGCTGTAAATACCCAACATGTCTGGTCTGTTGTGGAGTCTTTTCCAACCTTTTGAGATGCGACTTTGGCATTCAAAAAGAGCATGCATGCAAAATTACACCACGAAGTGACAAAAAAAAAAACGCAATTAAATTTCTCATTTTTGAAAATTTGATGAGCCGCGTTTGTGTCATTTTGAATCTGAGAAATGTTATTCAGTGTGAATCACACCCTGATGCTTATTTATTTACGAACTTATTAGCATTTCAGTAAGACTTATTTTTCTTCAAATTCATTTCATATTTCATCACACGACAAAGCCAGACAGAAACTGAAGTGTTTATTCGGCTGTCCTGTGTGACTCCCACACGGGAGAAATTCTTGTCTCCACAATTAATTCTGTTCAAACTCCATCAAATGAGGAACTCAGTGGGAATCAAACTGTGCGTTGTTTGATCTTTCCATTAATGAGGTAAGAGCTCACCAGTGCAGGCTCTTGCTTCACTGGAGATGTGAAGCAGAGCTGACATTCCATTTGTCTGTCAGGACTATAATGTGGCTCTGTCTTGTCATCATGTGAAATTTTGAGGCATTAATACCTTTTTACTACCTTTTAAGTATAGGAATTTAAATTCGGTAGAATTTCAAATGCACTGTAGCTCCACGTCCTCTATGTTTAATTAGGGAATGGCGCATCATTTGTGACTTTTTTCTGTTGACAGAGAGAACTCACACACCGTACACCGGAGACACATGTTAACCAGCCTGGTGAGAAAAAAACAACATTGTGATATATTGTATTTAGAAATACTTGATCTCTTGACTTCTGTATTCAGTCTTGTTACTGTGAAACTACTAACCACTGAACTGTGTGTCATCTGCAGTGTTTGTTATTGTCTATCTGGTCACCCGAAGGACGAATGGCTCGGTGTGTGACTCTTTAGGGCAGTTTGGTGTCAAGATGTAGGAATGTAATTGTATTTTTGTGTGATTGTGCTCCATAAAGCCCAGGTGCACATTATACTGCTCACAGAGGAGACATTTTTATTGATCTTTACTGTCACTGATAAAGAGTAAAAGGATGAGTTGTTATGCAGCTTTCAATAAACCACTTGCCCGGAGACATTTAACAATTTGAGTAAATTGTGCTTCAAAGTTGTAATTTTCTGAAAAAGGAAATAACACAGTCCTCCAACGATGAGTAAAATCCACCCCTCCTCCAACTGTGGCACAGCTAGCTTATCTTTTAACATTATCCTGTGGCATTTGCGGCCATAATATGTGCATTGCAGATGTAATATATGCAATCTTTATAGGTCCTTAAATAACATTAGGCTGCTCAGTGGCTTGGATCGGAAATTAATGAGCCTCTGCTCAGGCAGAACTGGCAGCGGCGCTGTAAGATGGGAGGCCAGCAGAGTGTGCTAAAGCATAGCTACAAACCTAATCCTAACTTTGTTGTGAGGTGATATAGGTTGCCCTGAGATGGGCTGGTGGACCTTCCAGGGTGTACCCTGCCTCTCGCCCATTGAATACTGGGATAGGCTCCAGTCCCCCTGTGACTATATTTGGGAATAACCAGTTAAAAAAAATGGATGGATGACCTAAGTCGTTGTACTGTTCATTAGGTTAATTATCTTTTGTTGTACAGGGTACTGCTCGATGCTCCAAATCCTGTTTTCAGATTCCTAGTTCTGATCTTCACATACTTGCTAAGGATGCGTAGTTTAAAGAAAATACAAATAATTAGAGGAAACATACAACTCGTGTGAATTTTTCAAATGTTTTTTGTCATTCTGATCCTGGAAAAAATATTTATCAATTTATGCTTGATTGCTGCACTCCATTTTATGAGGAAAGTGAATTGATTATGTGTTTAAACTCAAAGAAAAATTTGGTCAAACTGTCCATTTAGTTTGGTAGTGATAATCTCCCTGGACTCCTCAACCACTTGTTTTATTGTTTTTTATATAATGTAAAATAATCTTGCCAGAACGTGTCGTCAATAGCTTAAATTATACCTCTGCTTAGAGTGCGTTTTGTTAGTGTGTTCTTCTCTTTAGCTTCCATGTCACAGATGCATCCAAGTGAACAGAGGAGATTCTCAGAGCTCGAGATTCTGTCATCTCAGATACAGAACGAGGAGGAAAGCAGTACTCTGATCAAACCCCACAAACCTCTCAGCCCTTTCAATGCCTCCAGGAGCCACAAAGCTCTCCACAAAGAACTGCAGATGACCCACAAGAGGTTTGATGCACAGGAAGTCATAAATACTCACACCTCAGTTTTAATATTCATACCCATCATTAAGTCTGTCTGTGTTTCTGACAGAAGGGTGGCGCAGGAAGGAAAGACTGAACTCCAGAGAGCTTTGGAGAAGAGAAGATGGGAACAAAAGATAAAAGCAAGACAGGATCAGGAGGAGACAAAGAGGAACATGTCCCCTCTTCAACAGGAGCTGCTAAAAAGGCAACAGAGGCGAGAAAATGTAAACACACAAAAGGCAAAACGGGTTTTACTCCTATGTATTTAAGATAAGTTAGCCATCAAGCTATCATTGTGGTTAATATTAGAATTACTAAAACACAGTAACATGCAGCATTATAGTATTGGCAAAATGATTTTAACTCATGGGCATGACCTAGCTGTTGTTTTCTTATGGTTAATTAGACCAACAATAAGCAGTTATTTGGAATATCCAAATCATCCAGTGGGGGGCAGTCCAGTCTTGATTCTTTTACCAAATACATTCATGGACAACACGTGATGCCTCCGCCAATGTTGAGCAGTTTCCAGGACAATAAACTAACACACACCACATCAAGAGCATCACTGACTTTTTTTATGACCAGACTTTCATTTCGAAGCATTATGCCTGTTGTTCCAGAACCACATGAGAACGTGGCTCCTCATATCTTTTCACATTTAGGCACTGTTGCATATTCCTCAAAGAAAAGAAAATATATTATCACATTGCACGCAAAAAGTCTAAACAGGTTGATAGAGCAGAATAACTTGCTCCAGAAAAGTAGTTGCTGTGATCCCTAAAGAAAAGTGTTATCATTTTTAGTGTGAAACAAATAAATGATAGTCATTAGTTATTAGTCGTCATGAAGAGTTGTTGCACTGAGTTGTTGCTGAGGGGAATGGGTGACCCTGTGTAACATTCTTTGTTGCAGCACAGCTGACGGACCCTCTCACTGTCAAATTGTGCAACAATCTTGTCTGCACAGTCGGCTTCAGGGGCTTAAGAGCAATCCGCAGCAGAGAGCCAGCTCTCTTTTTTAGTTTCCTCAGTCTCTTTGCAAACACCAAAGGTCCAAATCGTCCTTAAAATCTTCGACCCTTCTTGTAAACAACCTCAGAGTTGCATTTTAAACTGTTGTCCGTTTGAATGCCCAAATATCTGTAGTCCTCCACAACCTCCGCTTCTTCTAATCATCACGTCTGTGTTGCTGCCATCCAGAATGAGGTGGGAGCCAACATCCAGCCACAAAGTGGAAGTGGTGTTTGTAATCATACACACACTCCCCGTATAATTCTGTGTTAATTTCTCAGCAGATGGAGAAAGACGAGACGATCAAGCAAGAAGAACCCGAGTTCCTCCGAGTAAAAGAGAGCCTGAGGAGAACCACAGTGCTGCATGCGGCAGGGAAAGAAGCCTGACCGTTAAGATGTTTGATTTTGGGAGCTTACTATCAATCAGGATGAGAAGAAGGGTGACTTGGTGAAGAAGATGCGTGTTTCCAATAAATAGATAATGCTGCTTGGTCTTCCCAACTAAGATAAGACCTTTTGGTCCAGCTAATTGTCTGAGAAATGTCTTTCTACATATCTTTCATTCTGTCAACTGCGATAAATGAATGAGTGCATTTGTGCGTATTCCTCTGCAGAGTGCATAGTTTTAAGAATAACAGTTTTTTTTTAACTGCACATTTATCATCACATTACATTGTGATTTGATGTTCTGAAAAATAATGATGAAGGTGCCTCCTGAAAAAAAGCAAATAAAATTAACATAATACCACTTTGGTATACTGTTGCTACCATTACTGTTTGTCACTGCTTAGCTTGTAGTTTCTAAGTCTACCAATGTTTACTATGTAAGAAATGCCTTAATATGATTAATACAAAGATATAACAAATTGTTTAACAGTGTCAGTTTATCATGCCTGACAATCTGATTAATGATGTTGTGGATCATCCCATGTTCTATGAACATTACACAGGCTGCTGTTCAATAAAACCAATTAGCTCTGGTCCCCCACTTGACTGCCTTCTATTATGGATATTGTGTTAGCATAGCATAGAACATGTGCTTTTTGCAGTTTGAAGATATTTTTTCATGTGTACTGCAGAGGAAATAAGAGCATTCACAGCAAAAAGGTAAAAACACGTTAAACAAATCAGTGCGCACTAGAACCGAGACAATCTCATAAACCTTCGAGTTTTTCTGGGGCAAATATAAAAATGATCCGGTTATGACACCACACACAATGCATAGACAAGGAAGTTTTTATTTAATTTCCTGCAGTCGTATCTCTGTTGGTACAAATCTTATTTTCATACATCTTTTTCAATAACCCATGATGCATTGCATCCATACATTTGTAGCTCAAAACAGCTTTTACAAAAAAAAGGATATACAATATATACTTATATTTATATATGTATATGTATATATATATCTATATATATATAATATACATGTGTTTCTTTATGCATTTAGATGTGTTTGTAATGGTTAATAGAATATTAAAAAACACATAGCCAAGTGGAAACAAATCCAGGAAAAACTTCAACAGAAGGTCATTACCAAACACCCAATAGCCAAGTTATCAAAGTCACCAATATTGGCTATCGAACAGTTAACATGAAGCCCTTCAAACACAGTTTGCATATTTTCCACAAGTACAGTCATGTAAATCCAGAGTGATTGCCTTCTTTCACGGTACTATCGACCAGGTGCAACAGATCATATCAGTGTGGATGGACTGGTAGAAAAGGTCTAAAACCTAATAAAGAGACAATTTCATGGCGTGTTTTACTCTTATAGTGGAACAATATGATTATCATCAGGATTGGAGAAATTTTTGCTTGTCATTGGAGTTGCGGTTTTGTATTTTTCTTTGTATTAAAACTCATGACCATCCTTCAACCGAGTCATGCGTGGAAAAAAAACATATGATCTGTTATAAAAGATCATCATTTCGCTGTATGGCTTAGGTAGTGGAGGTCTTTCACTCAAGAGGACAAATGTAAAGCGTGCAAACTGGCAGACAAATGATGCTCCCAGGACCCTGACATTTCTTTTGAGATCTTTTGCTCTGTGGCTGATATGTGTTTTCTTTTTTTTTCTCATCTAGCATGTGGATCTAAACAATACAAAGCAAATGAGAAAGGGGAGTTATAAACAAACATAGTTCAGGACAAATGTCAATCAGACAGAGACTTGGCCATCATAGTCAATGCAAATGAGAAGTCCACTGTGCTGTGTTGAATTTTGTCACCAACGTTACTTCTGGTGTCACTTACTTCACATAATATAGGTCAAAATTACAGTATTACACCATTTTCAATACAACAGAGTAGTAATAATCATGTGTGTTCATACTAATTGATCATCATTCATGTAAACATATTTAACCAGGTCATGCAAACAGTAGACCAAAACTTCTTCCACTAGAGGTGCACAGCACAGAGCAGGCGGAGCACCCAGACTGAGATCCCTCCAACTCAGTGTGAGCTGGACCTGAGCCAGAACCGGAATGACAGCTGGCGGATATTTGTCACTTGTCATGAACAGAACAGGCAGGATGAGCGTGGTTTTGATGGTTTCCTTCCCACACAGGGTGGATAATCTATACAATTTTGCCTCTAAAAAACAATCCTCCTGACAAAATGAGAGCGAATGAGTAAACAGACTAATTGGGATCTCAGTTTGAGCCTCTGATAACAGAACAGCCATAAAACAAGCAAACAAACGAACAAAAGAATCTCCTTTTTATATTCATACATTTCAATGTTTTCCCCATCAGGAAGCATGCAGACACTTCAAGTCAGAACCACCATTCGCACACCCAGTCTGAGCCAGAATATAGAGTCTTTAACCCCCACCATTGGCCTCCACCTTTAAATATCTCCTTCTTTTAGAGGCTTCAAACTAAAGGAGTAAAGTACGATTATATGGAAAAATACACCTTAATAAAAACTTGAGAAAAAAGGATGAATAAATGGGGGCGATGAATCGGCAGTAAAGACACAAATTTGAGACGTTAACGGAAACTAGATGCGAGGCTGGAGTCAAATGAGTGGACAAAGTGTAAAGACACGACAGAACTGCACTGGTTCCCTTTAAGAACATTTTTATCGTCTAGTCAGATTTTTGGGGAAAGCTGCCAGCACCGAAGACTGTGTGGGCAAGGTGGGTGCAGACACATTAACTGTGATCAGAGGTAGATGTGACAGAGAATGGGACAACAGAGATAATGCAGGACTTCACTTTTAGGCCTATTCTTTGATTAAAGCTCCACGAGGGAGCATGACAGCTAGCTTCTTGACCCAACTGTTGTACGCTACACACGGCCAAATGGCTGCACTTTGCTTAGGCGGCGCAAAGATCAACTGTTTCACAAGTTTCACTGGTAGGAGGGGAGGGTTACTGAGGTTAGACTTTTAAAATAAAATGCCATCTGCCTGTTTGAAGCAGTCTTGCACTCCCTTCTGCTACAAAGCTATAACTTGCCTTCTGTCTTGTCTTAGACAAATACCTTCTGTGGGTTTGCCCACACAACAGAAGTGGCCTGCAGGCTGTGGATGTACTCTGGTGGACACTGCCTAATATCTACTCTGTATTCCTGCCCAGACTGGGTGGCTTGGCTCTGGGTGCTCCAGGGAGACAACGTCACCATGACAACATGGGGCTGTGCTCAGATGCGACTGGTTGGCCTGCAGCAATAAGTGCAGCTTCTCAGGCTGTCCCGATCCGTGCTGCCCTCGTTGCTTCCACGACGACCATCCTCGTAATGGGACACTGTATGTTAGAGGAGAGCTGTGAATGTAGGGGGGGGGGTCCACTTTTGTTTTAAAAAGAGCACTTAAAATAATGATTGTTCTTGTCATTATTATTATTATTGTTGGTGTTGTTGTTGTTGTTGTTAGTATTAAACTGTTTTGAGGCTGACCTCTGGTTTATGATATTGGGAACCTAAACCACTAGGCAAGAAAGATTTGTAAGATTTCTACATTAAAAACACTTATGCTTTGGAAAATATTTGTTTAACTGGAAATGCACCGGTCTGCATGGTCTACCATAGGCAAAACTTGGGCAGATGGGCAGAAGACTATACAACAATAACTTTGACTTATCGCACAGTAATAAATTATGAATATTCAAAAATAATTTCTGTAATTTTCCTATTGTGTTAAAGAGCCAAACAAAAAAACAAAAAATCTCTGTTTTCTTTCTTGGATGAGGCTTTGAAATGTTAATGGCAGCCAACTGGACAGTAAAATTAAACATTAGAGGCAATATCTCAGTCCTCAATTAAATCCTCCAGAAAAAAACAGTCCAAGTACTTGTGTATTGAAGGAGAGACCTGGAAAATGTTCCCCGACAGCTTTAGTGTGACACCAATATTACATTACACCAGTAGACATGCACACAAATAAACTTCATAAAAATAGGTTTTATGCTGTAGTTGTTAAATCAGTGAGACCTAACTAACTTACAGCTCTCCTCTTCATTTCCTAGTTCATCCTCCTCTTCCTCCACCTCCTCCTCGGGGAGCAGATGTCCATGGCACGGGCTAGTGGGAGTAATCTGACTGGGTCCCTCCAGACTTGTTCCCAGCTGCAACCTCCGCATGTGGCGCACCACTGCTGTTGCATTAAATGCTTGCTGCAGGAAGGCAGAGCACAAAGGGGAACACTTGACAGAAAGCACAAACAAACACTACTCTTCAGCTCTAGAAATATGTTTCTTCATGGAGTTAAAGAGATTAAAATAAATCATATTTCTGGGATTATAAATATTTTTGTAGATTGAAAAGAGAACATAAAAACTTAAATTTGAACAACATTTTTTTATTTCATATGATAAGTACTGTAGTTTTAGTTAGAAAATTAAATAATTTCACTATGTATGGGAACTGAATTGGTTTTTTGGTTGAATTTGCATTTCTCTTAAATATGTTAACATGGTATTTTTCCATTTATGTTATTTTTTAGTAATAAATTATTCTCGTATCATCAATGTTCCAATTTTTCGAGTTGACCTTTAGTCTAGGATTTGTTTTAAGATAACATTCACCAGTAAGATTTTTTTAGTGATATATGCACATATTAAGGCACTTATAGTGAATAACAGAAGAAACATATGAGACATAGGCACACTCAAATATAACAAAGAAAGGGGCTTTACAGCAGCAGAAAAAGAAAAGCTATCAGATCATATGAGGTTTAGATGTTGTTAACTGACCTTCCATTTACTTTTGGCAAAGTTCTTCTTTATTTGTGCGCTGACAGATTCATGGATATTCTTATCCAAAGCTGTGTCACCACATATCCTGCAAGTCACAGAAAAATAACAATTATAGGCATTTTAAACAGCTTTTTGGGACTTTGGAGCAAAACATTTGTCCACTAGTAATGATGTTGATTTCACATCTGGTTGAAAAAGTGATTTCAAGGTACCAGTTAAACATCAATTAAAGCCTCATGTATGAATATAATTAAAAATGTTACCATGGATGCTGGAGGGCTTGCTCACATGTATATCTCTTCAAAGGCTCTTTTTCCATCATGTGACAAATGAAGTCTTTGGCTGTAAATTAAAAAAAAAAAAAAAAACATTCAACGAATCTCCCATTCATTTTTCATGGTTGCACAGCAGATATTTTAGCTGTACCTGAATCTGAGATGTCATCCCAGTATGGAGAATCAAATTCATACTCTGCCTTCAGGATCTGCTCAAATAACTTGGCATCATTTTCGTCATAAAACGGAGGATATCCACATAACCTGGGAGAGCAACATTTTAATACATTTAGGGAAATAAAACGTTTTTAACCACATGTTACAACATAGTCAAGTTCAGCTTACAGGATGTATGAAATAACTCCTATGGACCAGCAATCCACCGCTTTACTGTAAGGTTTCTGAGCAAGCACTTCAGGGGCTGTGAAAAGCACACAGAGTACTCTTACAGAGCAGAAAACATATGACACAGAGCAGCAGTGAGGATGAATTCAAGTAATCTTGACCTTTTTGTAATACCATGTCATCTGGCAGGTTGCGTTAACCAGGCAGAGAGCACTTCTAAAACACTTACAATTGACTCAGTAGAGGATCAAAAAGCCTCTCACAGCAGAGTGAATAAAGAGGAGATATCAACTGCAGCTCTCATAAAAGAGATGGGCGCTGAAGAGAATCTGTCTGAGCAAAGAATTGGTTCCTTACCCACATAGCCAGGAGTACCACAGGCTGTGGACATGACACTTCCCGCTCCCTCTATCTTTGACAGTCCAAAGTCACTAATCATAATCTTGGAATCTTCATCCATACTGTAATACAACAGATTCTCAGGCTGCACAGACAAAGAAGGATCAGAGACGATGGTTAATTTTTTTTCCCTAAAAGGCCAACTGCAAGGCACACTATGCTTATCTATTTAAGATGAGTCCCCTGAACTAAGATACCTTCAAGTCTCTGTGGACGATGCCCATATCATGGAGATATTTAACAGCATCCAAAATCTGGTGGATGAGCTGACTAGCGTCTCTCTCTGTGTAGAAACCTTTCTCCACAATCCTGTCGAACAACTCTCCCCCAGATACCCTGAAAAAAATTGTAATCATAAAGAATATTTGTGAGTCACAACAAACCTATCACATTAGTGATTAGAAAGGGTAACTCAAGCACGCATGCAACAATAAGCATGTGCCACAGATTAGACATTTGGTAGAGCTGGCTTTAAAAGAGTTTTGAGTGCATATCAGTTCATAAATTTCATCTGTGACCTCTGTGTAATGTGTGTCGGCGTGTCTCTGTGATGGATATGTCAATTCCTGGACCTCTTGTTATACATTGATTCTGGTGACACAGCATGAAAACCTGGCTAACATCCACACACTGAAATGGACCAGGCTTTGGGAGAGGGCAGGCACGTATCTGGGATCGAATTTCCAATCACTGCCACAGTGTTCTGATGTAATGGGAACCGACATCAGATTACAGTAGTGTTTCACTCCAGGCAACATTCCTGGAAAAGCATGTACATCCACAGTGTCAAACAGGACTCAAAGTTAAATCCCCGATAAATATTAAAATACTAAATGAGGGAAAGTGATTCCTAAGGGCACAAACCCTCTTTTGGGGGCTGTTTGCAAGGTTTCATAAATCTTCTATGCAAATGTATTCACATTTTACATTTTTTTCAGAGAAGTCTCTGATATACACTACGCAATCTGTTGGTCTGCTAAATAATGTGTTTAATAGTGGAGAGTGTCAACCCCAGCTGTGGTCTTTGTGGCAATTTATCGATTTTGGCTCTTTGCCCTCTGAGTTGTTAAATTAGTTGTTAGTTAATCTTGACTTAAACCGACTTTCAGTCATTCACAATTTTTCATCTCTGAAGAAAACAAATTTTTGTAGGTAACTTTACTACTGTCAAACTTTGGGCACATATAGAAAAAGGCCCCATGGCACTTGAGGGCAGAAAGTACAACTTGGATTGAAAATGAAAGATCTAAATTTAATGTCAGTCTAAGTGAGATTAGTTCAGGTGGTTCAGTCAATGTCTTTTGTCAATGTTGCAGCAAATCTTCAAATTTTAGAGTTTTGAACCAGAAAATGTTTGATAGATATGCTTAAAGAACCGAGGCAGCTTAATTTTCAGCCAATTAACAGATCAGCGGAACAAATCAAATGCTTCACTGCTAGATCAAAAGTAAATCCTTGCTGTAAAAATAATAGAAGGGGAACTCACAGTTGCATGACGAGATATAGATGAGATGTACTCTCAAAGATGTCCTCCAGCGAAACGATATTAGGATGCTTGATTCTGAGGAAGATGTATGACAAAAATAATTTTGTCAAATCTATTTGATGCTTACTGTGAATCGGTCATCGGTTAACAGTTAATATGAAATATTTCTGTTCTCTTTTTTCTATAAAATGGGTAACAGTAAATTCCATTTAAATTAACACATTTCCCCATAAATACATAATAATCTGACACTGGCCTTCAGATAGACTACCACCTGTGAATGACAGATGTCTGTAAATGCTTGAAACACTGAAAAAACACAGCAATAAATGCCAGTGTCTTACTCATAAAAAAATGTATTTGGATTGAGCAGTCAACAGATGGATGAGCATCTCTTTTGGCTCTCAAGTCGAGTTGAGAGCATATGAGCTGTCACTAACACAGCAGCTGAGAAGAGCTATTGTGGCTGTTAGCAAAATGAGAGAGACCTATACGGAAGGATGATTATTTTTTCTTGCTTAATTTAAAAAAAAAACTTTTTCCAGCCTATCAATTTCATTCACTCTTTAAGTATTTAACCAAACTCCATTCCTTTCATTCTTTGATATTGTTCTCTTTTTCCATGATACCCTACCCCCAACCCTTCCCAGCCTCTACACCCTCAATGTCTCGTTCTCTTTCTTCAGTACTCTGCTGCGGGGAACTCCACACCATCTCCGCCTCTGTGTGCTGTTGCCCTGGCAACAGGGACACTAAAAATAGGTCTATCTTCTTTTTTCCTGACATTTCCGGTGCACAATCCAACTGTTTCTACTGACACCATACATTTAGTCATCTCATCAGTTGACCCTTACACAGCATCTGCACATGCATTGTTGTAAGATGCACATGCATTGTCACAAGGAACTTTACCTGTGCAGGACCGCAATCTCATTTTCAATGTTGTTCTCTTTGCCTTCCAACGCTTTCTTTGGGATGCACTTGATGGCCACCAGCCTCTGAGTCCTTTTTTCCTCCGCTAGAACCACCTCAGAGAAAGCACCGCTGAAACATACATCCACACATGAGACAGGGGTGAAAAAACATGTGGGAGTTTGGAGGAAAATGGACAAGATTAGAAAGAAAAACAAAGACTCTCTCCTCTCTCAGCCTTAAAACAGTATGACATCTTAATAACTTTGCTCTGCAAAGGTTTGCTTTTGGTTAAGTTCTACGCAATTCAAGTCAGGGTATTTGACATTTTTGAAATATTTTTTAAAAAACAGCTTTTTAGCTACACCCCCAGCTCTTCTGATCTGGAGCTTTTAACTGTGTGCAGTTTTTTGGGTAGATAAATGTGTACATATGTGTGTGCAAGTGATGTGTAAATTAATAATTAAAAATGGAGACATTACTAAGTGTTTTTTAAGGGGCTGAAAAAAGGCTCAGAGGGCGAAGTTTCAGAAACATTTATTGGCACTGCGGTTGCTTTAAAAGAGGAACTATTTATAATCTTTTCAATAATAGATAGAGTAAATGTAGTGTGGCTGTATCTGAGGGAGACTAGACTGCATTATGGATTATGGTCTGGTAATGATGAGAGGGAGAATAGTGTGTATTTACACAGTCTACCCACAGGAGCGTGGGAGGGAGCTCAGGAAGAGGCCTGAATGCATGGGCATTGTAAGTAACCACAGGGATCTTTTCCATGTGTGGGAAACAGCTCTGACACACCAAACATAAAAGATTAACAACACCCAAGTTTAGCCAAATACAGTCCAGAACTAGAGATCTCAGAATGTAAGGACTCCTCCAGACCTATCTTCAGTCTGCGCTGAAGTGGGCTTCTTGTTTTTGCTCATTACCACATAAAAAGGCAGGAATTTCTGCTTGTGATATTCATCAACACTTAGATGAAGACTTATGTAACTGGCACATTCGTTTATGCACCCTCTCCCAGTGTAATTTTTTCCACATTATTATTACTTTCCACGACAAATTTTCAGTGTGAATCTTTGCTCATCGTTGAGATGGCCATTACCATCTTGTGCTCAACAAGCAGATGCAATAAAAACTGTTGAGCAGCGAAACTGAGAAGTGCCAATTCTGCCATGCATCTCCGGTTTCCATTCTGAAAGGTCCTAAAATAATCTCAAAGCAAAATTGCATAAAGCTTTGTTTGCATCGACCCATAAAAGCATCTTAATGCATTTAAGTCTGAAGTATTTATAGGCAGGGCTTTATCAGATGGCCTAAACCTCAGTAATAAGTCATTTAGCCTCTTTAAAATGATTGATGCTTAAAATAAGAGAGTAACTGGACTGAGAAAAAGACAAGTATGAGTCTTGGTTAACATAGTTAACACAAGATTTGCTGATGGCTGTGTTACCAATATTTCCTCACTGTTAATTACCTCAGTACATATTCACCCAAAATTCAGAATCATCACCTGTGTGCTGTTCTTGTTTTTAACATACATTGATTTCTTTATCACTTTTTACATTTGCTAGATTGTAACTGTAAACACACGCAGCACAATTTAATCTCTATCCAAGCCCCTCGGTAAAAATTTATAAAAAAGATAAAAACCATCCTCTTATCAAGAAGTAGTTTTCAATCTTGGTGGCCAATACCAACAAAAACCAAATAGCAATAAATAAATCCTGGGACGATGTGGAGATTTTCAAAAAGGTAGTCTTTTGAGAATTAAATATTGGCTAGACATGCACTACACAGCCATCCACTTGTCTATTGTGTTGCTTATTCTTACAAGGGTCACTGGGGGGCTGGAGCCTCTCCCAGCAGTCGTTGGGTGAGAGGTGGAGTACAACCCGGACACTAACTAACCCGGAAAGATTAGCTTCTCTTGTTCTAACATGCTCAACTGAATTTCTATTTTCATTTAAAGATATTCAAGTTATGTCATTTCAGTTTCGTAAATTAGATACAACTTCTGTGTGCTGGTATGGCTAATTCACCTTCCCATAAGTCATGTACCCATACAGCTAGATATGGTGAAAAGATGTCACCACATATCTGTGTATGACAGAATGACTGCATGTAAATCAAAAAGGTATAAACAGATATTCACAGAGGTACAGATACACACACACATACGCACACAAACACACACACACAACACACGTTTTTCCTCTGTTGCCATGAGACAAACTGTAATTAACCATCCAGTTGCTCATTTCTCCTTAGAGACATACTAGGGGTGGGCTCTCAGTGGGTTTGGGAGAGAAACGCGGAGGAGGATATAACGCTACTGTAGCTGTTACTCTGAACTAATGAGATCTTGTGAAGAGCCAGTGAGCACATCTTACAGTAACACTGGACAGTTGTGGAATATGGATAAATGAGAGGTGTATGTTTCTGTCAGACCTCACTAATTTAAAAGTAGAGTTTCTCTATTCCATCAGCATCGGAGCACAAAAATCAATTGAATGCCACTGAATAATGCTGGCACACAAATTTAAGATGATCTTAAACATTTTACATGAGTCATTGGTCTTAAGACTCACTGCTGATGCATCTGTCATCTTGGCTGCACACAAATACGCCTGTCCAAGCATTGTGGTCAAGCATTTGGATATTTTCACAAATAAATGTATCCTCCACTAGAT